GAGGAGACGGGCGGCTCCCGCGGTATCGCACAGCTGCTCCACGCTGCCCAGGTGCCCGAAGTGCTGCCAGGGCAGCGTGTGTGCTGTGGGACGGGGCACAGCGGGCACCCAGCTGGGCACGCAGGGCTGGAGGGCCACACGCTGCCCTGGCACGAGGGGAGCGCACCCACCCGAGCCCGCAGCACCCCAGCCTGGGGCACCCGCTGGGGCCAGCGCGGCCCAGGGCAGCCCCCGGCACCGGCAGGCGGNNNCGCAGGATGGGGGGAGGCCGGCGGGGCAGCGGCCAAGCCGGGCAGCGGCGGGCGGGGAGCACTCGGCTTCCTCCGGCCGCTCCGGCGGGTGCCTACCTTCTCCCGGCCCGCTCCGGGCGCTGCGGCCGCTCCGGCCCTGGGGGTCCCGCTCCCGCCCGCGGCCGGCCAGCCCCGCCCAGGCCCCGGCCGGCCCGGCTCCCAGCGCCCGCCCCGCCGCCCGGCTGCCTCCGCCCGGCCCGGCCCGGCGTGGTGCCGCTGGGAGGGCGGAGCTGCTCCGCGGGGCTGGCCCGCAGCCTGGGGAGCCCGGGGCCCCCGGTGACGCGGGGACTTCGCCCTGTGCGGCACCGCGCGGCCGCGGGCTGCGAGGCATTCCCCCCGGCGGGACACGGTGAGCAGCCGGTGCATGGGGGACATGGGGTGCAGCCCCGCCGGGCTGGACACGGCACTCGGGAGCCATGCACCGGGCCAGGCTGCTGGCAGAACACCCGGGAGCCCGGTGCGGAGCACGGCAGGCAGCTGCCTGTGCAAACCCTCTTCTGCTTCCCCACGGAGCGCTGCCGCCTCGCACGCACTGCCGGGGCTCCCCTTCCCCGCTGCTGCCTTGTGGGAATCTCGCTGCCTTCTCGGCTTTGGCAGCAGCTGACGAGTGGGTCTACACTGTCCATCTGGTGCAGTCTCAGCTTTGCCGCTAGCAGCCTCCTTGGCTGCTTAGATACATTGTAAGATCATGCCAAAGCATTAAGATGGAGAAAAACAAATAGCTCCCCAGCAGAAATCCATGATGGAGAGGGCTAGTTTGTGCATCACAGAAGACCTGGCATACCAAGTATAGCAGGTCCGGCGCTGGATTTCCTGGCAGGCTCAAAAAAGCCTCCATGCCCCAAGGGATACCATCCCTCAGCAACAAGTTGTAAAGCCCGGAGTCTGTAAGTCCCCCTTGAGCAGTTATCGCTGTTTGGCACTTTTGTGCATTTAGCTACAGTTCTCCATAGCAACCACACAGATCTCAACTTGACTTGCCACCAGCCAGGAGCGGGTGAGCAGAACGCGTTGCACGCTGGCTCTGAGTCGTGTTAGTACGTGCACAGGCTGGGTGCTGATTCCCGTCTGTTCTCCTGAGGCGGGGACCCACTCTGCTGCCTTGGCACGATGCCGTGGGCAGGGGGCCTGAAGCTGCACAGGTGCTCTATTCCCTGCACGTGTGGATGCTTGCAGATGGGTTTCCTGGTGCTGAAGAAAGACACCAGCCCCTGCCACAGGGATCTACATGTCCTCTGACCCAAAATTTCTGTTGTTCTTGCCTGCCAAAGAAGGTTTTGAGCGTTTTTCATCATCTCAATCCCTCCTGCAGCCTTTCAGGTCACTGCCATGACCAACTCTCCTCTGCTGACATCCCGATGCAAGCTGCTTAATTTTTCTTTGAGTTCACTTATTTGTATTTTCCCTTTTCTGCCTCCTCCATGCCAGATACAGAAATGAGAAGGCATTGCATGCAGAGTTCTGTCTGCCCTCCTGGCTCTGCCAAGATCCTCACAGCTTTGCTTATAAGAATTTTGGTTCACTTTCCTGGGCCTGGCTTCACTTTGTTTAAATGTTTTCCAGTCTGGTCCTTTCATCTCAGAAAGGGTAACAGAGAATGGAAGAAGGTTTGGAGGCAGGCAGTAAGGATGCTCAGAGACAGGGGAACAGACTGTACAGCAAAAAACTGTAGGCTGGGACTCTTCAGCTTGGTAGAAGGACATACAGTGGGGAAGAGGTCTACAAAATAATGAGTGGCCTAGAGAAGATGGGGAGGATTGACTGTTAGCTGTGTCTTCTGACACAAACCTGCCAACATTTTTGCCTTGACTGAAGCCTCAAAAGCCTAAGAAATCCCTATCTGGCCGATGATACACCCAAAGGTTGTGCGCTTTTTAGCCTACGCTTCTTGCAACACTGGGGGCGAAGCTCATGGCAAGCCTTTGAGGGGCGTGCTTAAAAATCCTGCCTCAGAAACATTTTGTAACCATGTTTTCACGTGGAGGGCTCAGCCACGGCCAAGTGGAGCTCTACCAAGTTGTTCATCACAAAAATATTCAGAGCTGGGAGGAGAATGAGCTGGACAAATCCCAGCCCAGAGAGAGAGACCTCCAGAGGGCTGTATCTTGCAGGAACCCTTTTGTAGGGGAAAACGCTTGCGACTGAGACTCTAATTTTTCTGTGGCACTGCCAACCCCACAGCAGCCTGCGAGGGTGAGTGATGTGGCCTTCTGGGCTGGTTGTCCTGTTCTAAGGAAGGAGTCTCCCTCCTCTGACTCTGCCCTAGAGAGTGGAATTCAGACAGTCCCACATTTTCTAGGACCACAAGAGGGCAACATGAGAGCACCCTGCAGCCAGCAGGCCCAGCAAGAGACTGCCTGTGACACTGCTGGGATGCAGGGAGCAGGGGCAGCTCTCAGCATCACTCTGTCCAGAGACCACCCAGCTGAATTAGCCAGCTGAAGGCTGCTCCCTGGGAGCTCCTTCCTTGCTCTCGGCTTCAGACAAATCCTCAGAAGTCAGCGGTCAGCTCAGCCAGCAGAGTGCTGTAGTTGGGGGCAGTAATACCTTCCTGCACATGGGCCAGACTTGGTGACAGCAGACCTTTCTAAGTGCTGCATGTGCCAGGCCGTGGGATGCAGGGTGCCCTCCCTCGTCCTGCCTGCATGTCCACCACGTCTCTTGGGTGAATGTGCACTGAGACGTGGCTTCCAACAGGAGGGTCCAGCGTCTGCAGTGATGCTGCTGGGCTTGGCCAGTGGAAGAGGTGTTAAACCACACAGAAGTCGGAGCATCTCAGCTTTGCCATCCTTTTTCATTTCCTTCTGCCTCAGAAAAAAAAAAAGAAAAAAAATAATTGGAATTCGGCTTTGGCTGTGACTGTTGAACTGGCCAGTGTCTCCAGCTCCTGCTGGTTTCTGCAGACCAAAATCAGTCACAGCCACTGTTAAGAGCATTACCATTCTGGGCACTTTTTTGCAACAGCCTGTATAATTAACCTGCAAGGGACAGCTTCCTCTGCCTTTACAAGAAAAGGCATGACAGAGAAAGAGCTTCTGTTAGCAGGCAGAGCTACAAGAGTGTGTGTGTCCTGCTAATGCTGGAAATGCCACCAGCATCTTGTAGCAGAGACAGAGGAGGACGTGACGGTGAGGGGTGAAGTGCAGGACATCGCTTCTGCAATAGGGTTGTACAGGTTGCTCACAAGAAATGATGTTTACAAAAGAGGGGAAGCAGAGGAATGTTTGAGGGACACTTTTTTATGAGCTTTAGACAGGGAGAGAAAGAGTGGCTGAATGGTAGAGATCTATTGGGATATATATTGGGATAACCACCCAAGTAAAAAAGAAATCACTGGGGCATACTGTTTACCCTCTCTGGAGTTATTTGTTTTCAATGAAGAATGCTAGAAAGGTTTTGCCTGCTTAAGATATTTTTACCATGGAAATAACCAGCTTTGTTTCTACTCTTGCTTCCACTCCAAACCTGCCCACACAGCCTAAGCAGCATTTTGAGCTTGCCTCACTGAACTATGGATCCTTTCTCTCCTACCCCAATTAAAACTCGCACAGTTTATGCTGTACCTGCATAACACACTGCTGGCATAAAATATCCACACTTCCCTATTGCATATTGAACCAAGGTTCAGGGTATTTGTCTCAAAGGAACACCCAAATAACCTGGCTTGGACTTCTACTCATCACCAGTTGTCAGATCTCACCTAGTTGCTTCAATGCCCAGAATAATAGTTTGGGTTAGACACAGCACACCCCTCAGCAAGCCATCTGGTTTGGGTCTGAAGACATAAGGATAATACTTGGCTTTTGCCAGCAGGTATAAGTTCAGCCTATCTGACTATAAATAATCCAAACCAGCTACTAGAAAGTCCAATCTTCATATCAAGATCAGGAGATGACCCAGAACCACCATGTCCTAGAGTTACCAGTCAGCAATAGCTGTGCTGTATATCGTTCAAGCTGTGTCAAGAGCTGCTCACGACATCCTGATTTAAAACTAACCTTCCACGAACTATGGGGTCTGCAGACACATAACCCTAACCCTAGGCAGAGCTGTAAAAGCAGCCTTAGGCTAAGGGTGGTGCCAAGCAGAAAGCTGTGGAGGAAGCCACGTGCTGGCAAATTTGTGTTTCCCTTGGCATGCCTTTTGCACTGCAGTGTGGCTGGAGCTCTGGGTTTTGTGGTTTTCAGAACCCAATCCCTAGGCGGAACCCTAACCTTAACCCTAGGCAGAGCTGTAAAAGCAGCCTTGGGCTAAGGGTGTGCCAAGCAGAAAGGTGGGGAAGGAGCCATGTTTTGGCAGTTTTGTGTTCCCCTTGGCATGCCTTTTGTAGCTGCAGTGTGGCTGGAGCTCTGGGCTTTGTGGTTTTCAGAACTCTAACCCTAGGCAGAGCTGTAAAAGCTCCCTGTGGCAGAGCTGTAAAAACTCCCTGCTTTATTGTACTTACCTGAGGCGGAAGCATGGCACTTGCACCCAGATCACTAATGTTCACGTGCAATTTTGTGAGTGCAGGTTACATCAAAGCTTGGGTTCATTATGCTTGGTATACACTCATGGCATTTAATGTGGGCTGTAGCAATCATCTGGGAATAAAGGGAGCAGATCTTTCTGAGATGGAGCAAGTGCAGGAGAAGAACTCAGTACACACAGACACTCTGCCCAGGGAACTGTAGCCCATGCCCACTTTGTTGTGAATGACTTCACAATTTGCTCAGGGATTAAATACTTCCTTTTTTAATGATTTGGGTTAGTTTCATGCTGGACTGTTGGAAAGTTCACTGGCTGGACTCATCAGCCAGGCCTCATGTAAACGGCTTCCCCAGCTCTCAGCCAAATGAGCTGTCCTCATCTTTGGGTGCCTCTGCGGGTGGCTCTTGGCACCACCTTCTTCTGAAGGGCTTTGTTGTTCATCCTTGTGCCTGAGGCTTTACGCTCTGCAGGCTTCCTCACCACTTCCTGTTTGAGCTGGAAATCCACCTGGAGAAAGATAACAAAGATAACTGCATTTAACACCTCGTGTGTGCTCTGGGACCTGCCTCTGCCTTGGAAGCTGACTCTGGGACCAAGTCAAACAATAAGGGGTCTCAGCCATTGTTAAAGGAAATCAGTTCTTAAAGCAGCTGTAAATTTTTTTCCTCCTGTGGAAAATGTACTAACCAATGAACTATGTTTCTTATTCAGAGTTGCTCCTGTGGCAATATGATGTCCTAGGATGGTTTGGAGGACGATCTGTGAATGGAAAGGGACTGAGCTATGTTCTTTATTCTCCTTTTCTCACCTTTATTCTCCTTTTCTCACCTTTATTCTCCTTTTCTCACCTTTATTCTCCTTTTCTCACACATAGCATTGCTTTGCATCTCCGTGAGTGTTTAATACACAGGATGGTTTAAGACAGATAGTTCTTTTTCAATTGCATCTTGTTAGTTTCATCAGTCTTTCAGCAACCAGTCCTTCCAGTGGACCCAGGCAAAAACATTCTGGGAAAGAAACCTCCATCCACTACAGCCACACAAGCAGTACAAGAGGGAGAAGGGGACAGGGAGTGTGCAAAGCACAGCATCAGATAAATGGGGAGGCCATACAGAATGGTGAAACTGGAATGGAGCTGCATGGGCTTCCTGGGGGAGGGATGGGGTGAAGAGTCAGTATGGGAGATGTTGCAGAAATGGGAACAGGAGGCTGCTGTGAGAGGAGGTACGCAAAAATCAGACCATCAGGGAACAAATCAGTCTTCTACAGTAACACTGTAAAATGAAATCTGTTTTAAAAAGGAAACCCAAAGAGCTGGGTGCTTAACCTAGCAAAACAAAGGACTGGGCTTGGCAGCTCTCTATAAATATACCAGGGAATAAACACCAGGGAAGAAAAGGGGCTATTTAAAGCACAACATTGGCATAAGAACAAACAGGCATAAACTGACCATAAATAAATTTAGTACAAAAATTAGAAGGTTTCTAATCCTGAGAAGAGGACAGCTCTGGAAGAACTTCAGAGGCTGGGCAGAGTGGGATGGAGCGATGGAAGGTGGGAGAGCAACCACAGTGTATTTACAGCAGAGCCTGACCAGTGTACATACAGCAAAGCAAATGATATGCCAGGATTCTGCAGGTGGGGAGGGGAGGGATTGGGGTGCTCCTGGGGGGTCTCTTGAGGAGCCTGCATCTGTGGTCCCACCATGTCCACAAGGCAGCGCAGGGGCAGGGATCACCACCCACTGTTTTTATAATCAATTTCTAGTTGTCCAGCCAGCCCTCAGAAGGGCGCTGTAGGAGACACACCAGTGTCAAAAGCACTTCATTTCCTGAAGGTGCTTGGCTGCTCTTTGGTGGCACTCAGTTCCCATTTGTCTTTGGTGCTCTCAGCAAAAAGAAAGGCAGACTTCAGCCTCTTGCTATGAGTTTGATAACATGTTTGGTCCCAGGCAGAATGCAGATGATAGCAGAGTGCTGAAACCCACAAAGCTGGGGGGGATAACTGAACCTCAGGGAACAGATGCTGTCTCCACATTATCTCATCCTGGAGAGTGAAGAGGATGGAGGGAGAGCTGAAGAGCAGCAGTCCCAGCCAGCCAGGAGCTCACCCATGGTCAAGAGGCAGGAGGACACAGGAGCCCAGTGCAGCTGCAAGGCCTCAGTAAGGAATTGAAAGGCACATGGCATTGTCTTCACTTCTGTGAGCTGTGTGGAGCCTTGTCTGCCAAAATAGATAACCTACAGCCATTGGAAATGCTCTACATCCCATCTCCTTTCTCTGCTACTCACTAGACATCCTCCACCACATTTCTTTCTCCCTGGGGTGAAGATATTTTGAGAAACCCTTGTGACTATGCAGCCTGACTCACCAATGAAGGTGCAGCTGGGCCCACTGTTGTTGTGACTGTCAGGGGCTGGTACCCCTCTGCAGAGGCTGTGACAGTGTAAGTGCCAGGCAGCAGCAGCCGGAAATAATCCCCCATATCACCTGGAACACAAGGTAGGAGAAAAGAAAGCACTCAGGATTCTCAGGGAGCAAAGCAAAAGACACCAGTAATTCTTGCTGAGTTATTTCCTCTAGGATGTGTAGCCCTCAAAACACAGGTTTGTTTTTTTTTCCCCAAATCTGCTGGCTACATCAAGGTTGGATTCACGCTGGTATAGTGCAAGCGATGTCTCATTAGTGCCGTGGAGAGGTCAGTCTGCAAGTAAACGCCAAATGAAAGAGGACTGTACAGCAGCATTGGCTGTGCCTGGCTAGGGGGGCTGCAAAGCTGAGCACTCACCACTCAGATGACAGTAGACCTAAGGACAATCACAGTCTGACTCCTTATGCATAACACAGTCTAATTCCTGTCATTATTCCCTGCATAAGAACGCTGCAGAAGCACTTTGACAGATTGTGCTCTGGTGTGCTTAGGGACAGGGGATGACCAACAGTGAGGTAACACCACGTCATGGATTACTTTGGAAATCTGAATATAATCCCATCTATTTAACTGGATGGGTATTGCAAATTGCTTCAGGGTGGAGCTGGGAGTGCAGCTTCACCTGAATGTGGTAAATCCCTGGTACAGGACAGCAGTTAGGCTGTGAAATATCCATCCTTGGGGTCAGTGAGAATTGGCTGGAGGGAGCAGTGGCTGATCAGAGCCAATGCTGGGGAAAATCTTGCTCCAAGCTGGACCGAAGAATTCAGAGGGCCTTTGACAGCCAGCTTTTCTGCGATTTCTTCCACAGTCCCCTTTCCTGTGCAGGTTGGCATAGTAAGTGCCAAATATTAGTGTTACTGACTCACAGACCTATAGCCAGGAGAAACTTCAATGATTTCCTAGTCTGACCTCTGAAGAGCTGTAATATCAGCTATTTTCTGCAGGCAGTCTGTAGTGTTCGGTCTGCTTGGAAGAGGGTGCTCATGGAAAGAAGGTTAAAATTGGCCAGCAAGGGAGAAACAACCACAATCTGGGTAATGTAAAGTGGCACTTAATTCTCAGTCTAAACTTGTCTGGTGTGAACTTTCAGTCTTTCATCTTATTCTTTTTTTTCATCTTATTCTTTTTTTTCATCTTATTCTTTGCTATCTTCTGTTTCAACTCTGCAGATATTTACAGGCTTGAGTAGATTATCCCCTCAATTGTCCCTCGCAAATAAAATAGGAGCTCAGTTTCTGAAGTCCTTTACAGTAAGGCTTGCATTCCAGTTCTCACCTCTGTCCTTCCCAGGCTTTCCTAAGCCCACCCTGGTCAAGGATAAGGACAAGCCATATTTCTCTAGTGTCTTTGGGAAGCAAACCATGATGGCCTCTCATTATAGCCTTGCCTGCTAGCTTCACTCACATATTCAGACACGTAAGTGGATCGACAACCCACCAGAGGTGATGTCATGGCTGATTCCCTGGACAGAAATCACTGCTCCTGCAATGCCATTGTTGTTCTCATCTGACACCATCCCTTTGATGCCCTGGTGAACCTGCAGGGAGGGAGACAGATGGATGGGTCAAGGCCTCTCCTTTGCTTCAGAGGGTATTGCTGAGAAGGGCAGAGCTTTGGGGACAACCCTACCTTTCCCGGTACCCTTGGTGATCCTGGTTGTCCCCACCAGAGCCAGTCAAGCACACAACAGCTTCCCCAAAGACCACCAACCAGAGCACCCCATGATCTCCACAACCAACTCTCGTCCATTCCTGGTGCCTACTGGTGCCCTACCACCAGGGCCCATGGGGATCTGCAGGAGAAGGGTGTAGGTCTCAGGACTGTCCCTTTACCTCTTCAATGAAAGCAACAAGGGCCTCCCGGTTGGCCATCCACTGCCTCTCCAGGTCCTCCTCGGGGGGAAACTTATTGCAGCTTAGCTCCAGGGTAATTTCAAAGCAGTTGGTGTAAAGGTAATTGAAGTCCTGCATGCCTGGAAGAGAAGAATACCCTATGGCCAGGGCATGGCTCCCTTCCTATTCCTATGTCCCAGTCATCCTGGCCCATCTTTCCTTGACCAGAACTGTCTCACTCTCCTTCTCTGCACCTCAGGTGCAGCCTCCTCCCTACATGACAGTGCAACTAGAGCCTTCTCCACCCATGCAGCCCTCTCCTTCTAGCTTCCAACTCTCTCTTTCATCATTCATTAACCTGCCTTCAGAAGCCCAGGAAGGTTGGGTACCACAGAGGTCTTATATATCTCTTCCAGTTCCTCTTCAATCTTTTGTCTAGTCTTATGTGTTGACTTTTCAGTTTCTTCATTGTGCCTTTTTTAATGAGATTTTTCAGGAACTAGCAGCTGCCTTCCCTTTGGTGACAGTTTTGAGTTTGGACAGAATTACACCATAGGATTTTCAAATACACTAGCAGATTAATGTTTCCTTTGTCTAGAAGCACATAGGATGAAGGTCTCTGCAGACCTTGGCTTTTTCTGTGGCTCCTTCCCAAGCCATTTCCTGGTCTGAGATACAAAACACCAGAATGGTGTCTAGTAATGAGCACCATCCTATTGCCATAGTCCTTCCCCAGCCCATCCTGTCCCGAGGTTTCTTGTCTATCCCTTCACCTCTTTTTGCTGTGGGGGGTGCTCAGGTCTTACCTTTGCTGAGTGAGTACCAGGATGCCCCATTTGTGATGCCATCAGCAAAGTAGTCTCCACAGTTCCAGCCCCGGTGCATCCAGCTGTGGGCATATGAGTAGGTCTTGGCCAGCTAGAGGGAGAGCAGCCAGTGGTCACCACTCCAGCCCCACACGGCTGGAGAACCTGCCTGGCTCTGGACAAAACATGCTCCCTCCTTTGCTGAGGAGCATGGGAGGGAAGTCAGACAGGAGAGAGTTCCTGCATTTGACTGCCACAAAATACAACACAAGGTGCCCAGGACCTCTACAAGACATATGCAGATAAAGGTGAAGGAGGAAGAGCAGTAACCTGGCAAGCTGGAAGCTTGTTGATGGCAAAAGGGCTTCTGCCCTGCTCGTACTGAGAAGAGAGGGAGCAGAAGCAGCAGGGACACTTGGCCCCACACAGCAAATGGCACTAATAGGGGAAAAAGATATATGAAGAAAAGTATCAGTCCTGGCAAATGCCAGACACGTGTTGGGGGAGTTTTCATTAGGAAAGAGTTTGGGCAATTTCTGGCTCTAGCAATGACTTGTTTGTTGCCCTTATTAAGATTACTGTTTATTTTTAGACATGAAGGCAGGGCTAAAACTGGGCTGCTGCATCCAAAGCCAGTCCTCTGAATAAGACACAGTTTAAGAGAGACTGGCATTTGCATTTTCTAAGGCAAACTAGATACCCTTGTATTATGGTTCAGATTTAAGTGTAATATCATTCTGTCAGCAGGAAAACAGTTACTTCTCTACATTTCTGAGTCCTGAGGCCATGTGAGTATTATTAGCCTACGCCCCAGACTGCAGCTTTTTTACATCTGGGTCTGAGCACAGCCGTGATCCCAGGAGGTCCTGACAAGCCCCTGCAGATTCTGTTTCCAGAGAAGGCTGGACTCCAGCTTGGACTTATTTTTCTTATTAACTGTTCTGAGGCAGACTTTTTTCTTGTGCTGGGTATTTCCTAATGGAAGCAGTGACTGAAGGCATTGTTTTCTGGGATAATGAAGAAAAACCACGAGCTTCAGCTAGCACTAACAGGATCAACAGCATGGACTGATGCATTCCTTGATGTCTGCTTATGCTCCTGGAGTTCCTGCTGTTTGTTGTAGTTCTTGTTCTTCGCCATGCATAAGCCCCTGCTGGGCACCCACCTCCCTTATCCTGGTATCAGCAGGTCCCCTGTCACCTTTCTAGAAAAAAAAAAACAAACCCTATGCATTCTAAGATGGTGAGGCAAAGCTGAGTGCCGCTTCCAGCTTTGGAAGAGCAGGTTGTTACTGAGTATACCAGTGCTATTTGGGTTATGGGAAAACCAAGCATGGACAAGGAGGGGGGCCCTGAGGGTTAAGCATGGCCTGTCACTGTGGTGGGACTGGCTCACAGGGTGGGACTGTCCTGACCTGGCTCTTGAGCCAGTGGCTGGCAGAAATGCTGTAGTCTGCTAATGATTATTTCCAACACGTTTCTTGGCTCAGCTCCTGCATGACGCAGTGACCAGAGCTCCCATCCAGCCCTCACTCTGCACCCTGCCAGGGAATGTCCTTGCCCAACGTGGCCGTGCTCACCTTCTGAAACAACTTATCGTCAGGGGTAGGCGTGTTGACCGTGCGCCGGTGGCTCCTGAACCGCTGATCCTGGGACTTGTCATAGGGGTAATTTGCCACCACTGCCCCGCCGTGCAGATTGGCCGAGAGCACAAAGTTGTAGCTGCTAATCCACTGGATCACAGCCAATGTCTCTGGCTCCACCTGTAAGGAGAAGAGAGAAGGAGACAGGGAGAAGAGACCTCTGTGCCCGCTGCTGCTCCATGCCAGGCTGTGGTGTGATTGACCATGTCAGACCCTGTCCTGCAATGTCTGCTGCAGCTCTTGCAGCTTCCTTTGTTCTCCACCAACTACCCTGATACACAAAGCAGCTCCCCCAGCACAACCCCAAAACCTGAGGCACAGGTGCTAGCCAGCATATGCCACCTCCTCTGCCCTGTGCATTGCAGCCTACTCCCCCAAGCTGGTTGTGATGTCAGGCTCTCCTGCAGATGGGCAAGCTGTGATAGGGGACCAGGACTGTATCATTTCTCTGCACGCAGAAGGCTCAGGGAAGGAAACAAGCACTGTGCAAGCCAAAGGGCAGTGTATTTGCTTGCGTGCTGAGACACTCTAAGAGGATGCTGCAGCCCTCACAGTATCCCAGACTGGTACCTGGCTTTTCCAGTTGTCAGGCAGTGGGATGTGGTGATTTGGCCCGCTGATTTCCCTGCTGTAGTACATGAGTGTGTTGAGGTCAGGGAAGTTACGGTTCAAGTCCACTCCATTGGCATTGTTCCTCCCTGTCAAGTACCCATTGCTGTCTGGGCCCTGTGGGGCAAAGGTACATCACAGGGGTGAGTCCAGGTTGGGTGCAGTCAGGTTGGGCATCAGAGCAGCAGAGATTGGCCACTGTAAAAGCACTTCAATGCCTATGAGTTACAACATGTGTTATTGCTGGCAGGGCAATAAAGAGTATTGGTACTTACAGGGAAAATCAGTAACAATATCTTCATTTTTCAGGGTGACAGAGTAAGCCACAAGACAAATAAACAATTTACTTTAGCTGAAAGAGCCACAAATATCTCCCTGAAGTCTAGAAGCACAAAGAAATGGATGACTTTTTTTTCAGGAGCTCTAAGGGGCTTATTTCCACTCCCCCATCTCTCATGTCCCTGCCTGCTTATGACAGTGGCATTCAGATGTCACTTTCCCAGTCTAGGGCAGGGGATTTGCAGTGACCCTTCTGTGACAAATAACTTCTAAGGAGAGTAAGACAGGTATAGGAAGTCTTCTCCATCATCTGCCAAGGTCACCTACAACAGGACACACACCACGAGCCCTTGGTAAGGAGGCGACAAGCAGCGACAGCAGTTGACAGGGACAAATTTGGCAGGGCATGAAAAGAAAGGATTCCCCCTCCTTCTAGCTGCAGTGAAGAAGAACCCCAAGGGATTTGAAGGGCTTTCTGCCCCTACCCGTCTGGAGGAGGTGATCACTGCCTGGTACCTGCTTGGCAGCCACTTCGTACCCGTCGGGGTTCATGGAGGGCATGATGTGGATGCGTGTGTCATGGATGAGGCGCGTGATCCGCTCGTTGCCCCGGCGGTACTCCTCGCACAGGAACTCGGAGAGCTGCAGCAGCAGCTCACGGCCCAGCACCTCGTTCCCGTGCATGTTCCCAACATACTTGAACTCTGGCTCCACTGGAGAGAGCAAGAGAGCGACGCCATCAGCCATGGCTGGAACAGGGGGCAACAGCAAATGCCTACCACAGGGAGCCCCAGGCAAGCCCAAGGGACACCCAATAAATGGTCAAAAATGACCCTTTCCCTTTTTCCCTTGGAAAATGCAAACCTCAGTGAGGGAGAATGGCACAGTTCTCATATAGGCTCTGCTTCACTTTGCCACAGCACTCTGGGAGCAGGTCAGACTATACTCCAGGTTGCTTTGGGCCTTTGGAGCACACAGGAAGAGTACTGGCTGGTAGTTTGGTCTTGGGTTGGTGAAAGGCATCACAAAAGGACTGGCAGGATTGCCCCAGACTGCCAGGGCCTCACAGCTCTGGGGTAGGTGGCAGTGGAGGGGACAGACTATTTCTCCCACCTCTGCTCTTCTACATTTGCTCTCAGTGCCCTTCACCAGCATGGCCCATTCCCAGCTCTGCATCTCTCCTTCCCCCTTACCTGCCTCCAAGATCAAGGTTAAGGCCCTCCTCACCCTCAAGGGAAAACAGCCTGGAGAAATCCTCAGCAGCTGAGCTGAATATGGATCAAACTGTCCCTCAGGCAGATCCAGTATGACCAAAAAGGTCTCTTGCCACTGACTTTTCTAAAATAAGGTCTCAAAATACAGACTCGGAGACCACAGGCAGACAGTGCCTGGAACAGGACTTGCTGCTTTGCTGAAGGAGAGGCAGGACATGTGAGGGACAGGTTGTGCTTTCCCAGAGACCTTTTAAAGCAGTTACTTGTGGGAAAATAAAATGTCACATTGTAGGCTGGAGCCAGCATTGGTAGAACGAAAGACAACAGGGGAATTAAGTTAAAAAGGGAGCCTGGCTGTCACATGAAAGAGTCAGGAAAAAAAAGGGTGTTGTTACAAATGCTGGATTGCCAGATCTTGAGACTCCCATTGCACTCTGAGCTTTCTGGACACCAGCAGGGATCAGACTTGCAGTGGCAGCATGCAGCTCTGCTGCCAGGTATGATGTCTGTCAGGATCCCTCGCGTAAAAGACATCACATCCCCAGATTGTGAGCTGCTGCTTGCAAAAGCCCAATTGCCTTTGCTGCATAAAAAAAAAAAAAAAAAAAAAAAAAAAAAAAAAAAAAAGTCTAATATTAGCTTAAGATTTTGCTTTTCCATGTTTTTTGATTGCTGTGTCTCAATGCAAGGCACCAGAGGTGAGCAACATATTTTGATGTTGTTAGATTTCAGGAACATGAGAACTGGTTTAGTTAGATAATCCAGTTATTAAAAATACCGAAAAATCTTGGGCATATGTGCTGCCTTTAAAAAAATAAGGTTTCAGCAAGGATTTTCTGCTTTGAGTCTGCAGCAAGATTTGCCAGCCTTTTTCAGTATGCAAACCCCTAAACTTTATGTATATGGACGCACAAACTCTAATTACTGCATGTAAGCCCATTGACTCTGAGCTTGCTTTTCAGAGTTACTTTTCATGTGCTTCAAGGAAATCCACAGTTTTCCAAATTCCTCATGCTACAAGCTGAAAGTGCCAGCCTGACAGTGGCCCATGCTACAAGCAGGGCCACATGTCCATGCTGCCTGCCTGGGGCAGGGGAGATCTGAGTCATTTCCTACAGCCTTCCCATCTGCTTTCATGTGGTTCTGCAAGTCTAAAATCCAGTGGTGCATTGCCAGTGCCCTTTGCTCACTCCGTGCTTTGAATCAGCCCTTGATGCACTGTGGAGGTACCCTAGATGCCCTCAGTGCCACACAGCTTTCCCAGGGCTGAACAGGGTTGTCACAGAGGTAGTCAAGGTGGGAAGCCTCCATCTCACCTCCTGGCACCCCTGAAAATGATACTATGGGCACAGGACTGGAGCAGCATGCCCCCAGAGCAGTGCTGCCAGACATGGGGTGCTGTGGGCTTTGTGGGGGCTGCTCCTCTGAGGGGGACACAGGTTCTGCACACCCCTGCAGCCCTCTTGGCAGTTTTCCATATGAGTAGGCTGCCTGTATCCATCAGCCCCTGTGTTTAACCACATCAACCAGGACTCGAAAAGGCAAAAGATCCTGCAGAAAGTTCTGTCCTTATCTGCAGCACCAGGGACACAAGGCAGGGATGCGAGGGAGCCCTGTGTGCAGCCCCCCAGCCTGGAGAGGCAGCTGCTCTCCTCAGCCCCCCCAGGGCACCTGGCTGCCAGCAAGGTCTGGCTCGGCAGCATCTCCAAGCTGCACGGGCAGCAGCTCAAGGGGCCACCGCTGCCAAGGTTCCCCAGGGCCACGTGGCAGCAGGTGGAGATCCCCGAGAGCGGCCTGTCACCGGGGCTGCGCTGCCCACGGCGCTGCGAGGGCTGCACAAGCCCAGCGCCTCTCTGCCGGGGTCCCCGCTCGCTGGCCTCCCGTTTGCCGTCTGCAGGAGGAAGGGCCGAACACTTTCTCTCCTGTCGCTACCCAGCAGCACAGGGCAGAGGGTGGGTGCTGCTCTCCTCGCCTGAATAACATGGTTTTGGGAGGGAGAGTGTGGTAGGGCAGGCGGGGTGCTGGGGTGGACTCGCCTGCGTTCTCGCATTAGCTTGAGCTGAAAACTCAGAGCTCCGTCCAAAGTACGCGCCTGGGCCACGCTGCAGCTCCCGCAAGCACAGTGCGTGGCACGGTGCATGTGTGCGGGCTGGGCTGGCTGCAGGGTCCCTGCCGGAGACCGCGCTGCCTGGCACCCGGGCATTGCCAGGAGTCCTGCCTGGAAAGGGAGATCCCTCCACCCAGCGCCCCAGCAGTGCCGCGTGGCATGGAGTGCGCCAACGAGGCCCGTCCTCTCGGGGCTGCTGTCCCCTTCCCCCGTACTCACGGGGCTCGTGGATGCCCGGGTAGTCGCTGAACTCCAGCACGTAGAGGTGCCGGCCCTCGACGCTGCGGCCGATGCTGTAGATGCGGGTGACGTAGGGGCACTGGCTCTGCACGCGGAACAGGGCCTGCACCAGCTCCTCGTAGCGATGGTGGAGGAAGCTGAGGGCGGCCGCCCCCTCGAGCAGGAGCAGGGCTCCCACGAGGGGCCGCAGCCACCGCGCCATCCTCCCGCGGCGCTGGGCGCCCGGACCAGCTCCCAGCCTCGGCTCCCTCCCCGCCGGGAGCTTAAAGTGCAAACTCCAACCAGCTCTTTCCAGCTGCCGAGTGCCAGCCCCCTGCACCTGCGGGCGGGGGGCGGCGGGAGCGGGGCGCGCCGGGGCCCCGCGGCGCAGGAATGCTCCCCCCGCCCGCCCGGCCGCCGGCGAGCCCGCTCTCCTCCGGCGGAGAAGTTCCCCCCCGCTCCAGCTCACTTATTAACTGGACAGCAAACAGGGCCCCGCAGCCACTGGCTGTCACCGCAGAAGAAGCGCAGGGCTGGAAAACTGGCTGCGGAGGGCGTCGGGGCTGCCAAGCGCTCGGGGAGCGGCGGGCGGGGGAAAGGAGAGGAGAGGGGGCCGGCGGGCGGGGGGCTGCCCGTCACCCTCTGGTGGGGCAAGAGCCGAGGGGGATGGGGATAGCGCCGGGGCGGCTCGCTGCCCGCAGGATCCCCGCAGCCCAGCCCGGCGCGGGCAGCTCCCACCGCTCCTCCCCGGAGTCCCGTGCCGGCTCCGCGCCTCCTCTCCTGCCCCATCTCCTGGGGAAGCAGAGGCGGCACCGCCGCGGAGTGCGCGGGTCAGTCGGCCCCTCTGCCCGGCCCTGCTCACCCCGCGATCCCATTGCTCCCGGATAAACAGAGGCAGGGACTGAATCGCCCTCGCCACAGCTGGCTGCCCGAACTGCCGCGCTGGGACGGGCACGGGGAGGGAAGAGCAGAGTGGTGGGATGTGATGCAGCAGTTGTCTGCTGAGCAGGAACCATCACGGAGAGCTCCGCTCGAAAAGTCTGCTATCACCCCGCCCTGCTCTGGGAGGGGGCATGAGAAAGAGCTCTGACAGGCGCTGGGCAGGAGGGCATTGCCTAACTGCGTACAGACAAGTGAAAATGTCCCGCTGTCTGCTACAAAGGATTGCAAACTGTTTCTGGATGTAGAGAGGGAGCTGGTTCCTCTCCACCCCTCTGCCATGCTTATCCCAGTGGGCAGCAGACACCTCTCTCTGCCCACTGCTAGAGGCAGCCTTGCCCCACAAGGCTAAAACTCCAGCAGCCTAGTGGCTCTGACAGAGGTGTTTACTAGGACAGCCCTGACACATGAACACAAACAGCTGAAAAATTTACCATCACGGCTGGACAGGCCAAGAGAAAGGCTCCCTTTGGAAACATGAGCATGCTATTCTGCTCTATCTGGGCCGTGCTAGAGAGGAGCTCCTCTGGCCACCAGTAGTGGGCTGCCCAGGATACTCAGTGCCATGCCAAACATTTGCTTTCCCTTCAGCCTTGAGGTGGATCTGTGCTGAGTTGCTCTAATTTCTGTGTCAAGGCTTGCTTCACCCAGCAAAGCATTCTTTCCCAGTGCTTTCCTCCCTGTTGTCCACATCTGCTTGGGCTGCTGTCTTTCTACCTCAGTTTTCCAGGACGAGCAGAGGTAAAATCAGGGAGTTCCTGTTTATAGCCTCTAGCTGCTGTTAGCCTCTGATGCAAACAGTACAGGCTGGTGGTCAAGGCACATGGATTGCCTGCTTATGATTTGGCTTACTCAGAATTTCCCATATCCAACATTCTTCTGCCCCAGCACCATCATAGTGGTCATTACTCTCCTTGATTCTCTGTCTTCTTGATCTTCTGTCCCACCTGCACAGTTCCCTCTAAACCCCTGTATTTAAAAAATATCCTTTTGAAGACATAAACAGAAAAAGAAAAATATTATACATACATAAAGATAGCAGTAACATATTGTTACCTTCTCCTAGGTAAGCCTCATCCCCCCACATCCCTGCTTGTCAATCAGTGTGAAAACAACACATATTCAGGAGCAGGAATGGCATTGCACCCATCTGTAGCTAGCTAACAAGAGTCAGTGCTCAAGGTGATAGCTTCTCCCAGCATATGCCAGAAACCAAGGCAAAGTAGCTGAAGCCGTGGCATGGAGAGCATGGGTGTGGCAGGACAGGTCTTGTCTCTACAGCAAGACGTGTCTGGTGGTATTCTGCAAAGCTGGCAGCCCACAACAGCAGTGGGGAATGCCTTCACCTCCTTCACATCCCTGCTCCCAGGGCTGCTGGATTCCTGTGGAGCTGCTCTTTCCCCAGGCTCCAGCAATGAAGGCCATGTGAAAGAGTTGTGGGCAGGTTTCCAGCACTACCCAGTGTTACTTGGCAGCCAGAGAGTGCTAGGCAGGGCTATAGTAAAATAGTGCAAGCCCCATGTTTGGCCTGTTTCACCCTCCCCTTTCCCTTCCTAGGCTGCTTTCAGTAGCCTGGGACAGTAGTGGCAGAGCTGGAACTGCAGTGCTGCCAAGGGACACGTGAGGAAAACTCTCACTTTCCTATGGAGGCAGAGAAACAACAGTAAAAAAAAGAAATGCCAGAGCATTAGAGCCTAAAAAGGAGCCATGGGTAAAATCTCATGTGGGTGGAGAACACATCTCACACACTACTAGGTCTGGAGAGTTAGTCAGTGTTATCCATAGCAGGGATGGAGGCAGCCTCTCATCAGGCAGCAGGTTTAAAGCATACAAAGGAGTTTTGCACAAAAGACACCCTGAAATTACATCATCAAAGCTGAAAGTTAAATGAGTGCAAAAGAGGATAAGATGAATTAATAGAGAACAGGGTCACCCACAGTTGTCAGATCTTGAAGTAATCATTTGATCACAAATTTCCTAAGCCCCTGATGGGTAGAAGAAAAGGATTGTGCTGTTTCCCTAACTATCCCTCTAAATCCTTGCCCGCCACACAGCTGGAGATGAGTGCCAATGCGCTGCCTGTTTGATCTGACCTAGCATGGCCTTTACACATTCTAGGAAAATGACGATAATACATTTGGACATGTTTGAAAACACCAATGAAAGCAGAAACAAACAATAGAAGATGTTAGGACTTAGAAACAGTGAAGGAAGTAAATAAAAACTTCATTTGGAAAATACGGCTAATACATCTGGGATGGATCATACACTCCCCTACCCCCCACCCAGATGTTCAAAAATGAAGAGACCTTGAGGCAGTGGGAGAAAGAAGGGGAGAAGGAATGCTCTGTGCCACTGTGGTGAGAGTGAGAGGAATGTGAATGCAAGCCCTGTCTCCCCACCGTTCCGTTGCTGATGGGCACAGGCAGCAAGGAGCTGATTCTGCTGGAACTGGCCATGGAAAGACTGCATCTGATGGGTTCACTTTAGTTCTGGCCATATTGTTAACAGAGGAAGATTGGAAAATTTGAGGAAAGTTCAAGTTAATAGCCACAAGAATGAGCAAACTGTGGGGAGTTCATGCTGAAAGAAAAATAACAACAGTGACAAGCATTGTTTGCCTTGGCAGAGCTATGACTGTGGCTGTACACGGAGACACGCAGCCCTGTGAGCAGGGGGCACAGGCCCACTGTCCTTCACCTGTCTAGGGGGCTGGGAAGGTGGGCTGCACTGCCAGCATGATGCCAGTGGGGCTGCCTGGAGGAGGGAGAGGGAAAATCAGAAGAGAGGACTGCTTCCGTCCAGTTCACAGCTTGGGAGAACAAACTCCTTTGAGGAGGTCAGGATGAAGCTAAGGCAAAGGAAGATGTGGTTTAGGCACTAGCAGCCTTCCCAGCAGTGAGACAACCTGTGTGAGGTGCTCAGAGCCTGGGAAAGACCACAGTGCATTTCTCTACCAGGAGGGGATGCTACCCATCCACTGGGATCTTCAGAGCTGACCTAGGAGAGCATCAGGGAACTGGCAAGAGAGGAAATCACATCTCAGGACTTTTCCATGTTTAGTGCCAGAAGCTCCATTCCAGTACTGGCAAACTCCCATTTCTGGAAAACAACATGAAAACTTTTTTGGCGTCAGTTCAGAAGTCTTTATTATGATAAGCATACAGAGGCTTGTGTGTGCATCAAAACAAAGATCCATTTCTTCAGGGCTGGGCCACAGAAAGAAAACACATGGCCTGGGTGGCAGGGACTGCTGTCCTCAGTGTGCTCTCCCCAGTCCCTCCTGAACAGGCTGTGAGCCTGTGTCAAAGCTGGCAGCCCTGCAGAGCCTGCACATCCTGCCTGGCACAGAGCATGGGAAGAATTGGGTGGAGAATGAAGGGGCACATATCCGGCCCAGAACTGCTCTGGGAGAAACTGGGAAGCCCTGGCCAGCGCCAGCACTTCAAATCAGCCTTGCAGTGCAGAGGTGATGGCCCCACTTCTGAGAGCTTTCTTCCAAGTGGAGCCCTCACTGTGCTTTGCTGTAGGGCTGGAGAAATCTGCAGTAGCCTGTGCACAGAGGAGAGGCAGGAGGAGAGTGAAAGGTACTTAGAGCCTGGGGTGAGGAGCAGTTTTCCTGCAAGAGGTGAGTGTTCTCTGGGCTCTCTTCTGACAAGTTCCAATAGCTTTGCCCCACACTTGACACTCAGCTGAATATAGCAGAGCTCATAGAGGTCATCAGTCCCAGCGAGACCAGGCTGCTCTTGCACCCTGCAAAGCTATCAACTCCCTCAGCAAAGAACCTCCCCAAAAATGGACCAATCAACATTTGAACCCAACCAGAGATGCTCATCCCACCACCTTGCTGCAGCACATCTCAGAGCTTCCTAGGAGCCCAAGAGAGCTCTCTCTTCAGGAGAGACCAAGGTCTGGAGTCTTGGCAGCGCAGCAGAGCTGAATAGTGAGTAAATATGTGATAGACAGAACATGTGATGTTAAAAGATGCTTTACCCAGGAAAAGCAAAATGGTAAAGCAGAAGTGTCTAGAAATTAAAGCCAGAAGCTGTCAAATTAGAAATAAGGCACAGATAATTACCAGTGAGGCAGATCAACTGTATTAACAAGAGAAATGATACATTATTACTGGCATATTTGGAAACTCCCTCCCCTATCATTAGTGGTCTTCATGTACATGTCAGGTGGCTCTGGAACACACATTTGAGTTGAATACAGCTGGATCAGATGAAACACAGAAGCAAAGAAAAGAATGTTCATAAACCTGAGCTCTTTGACCAAGGATTTTGAGTAGCCTCCATGAAAAAATTCCTGCAATAACAGGAGAAATGTAGAGAAAAAAATCATAGGCCATTCTGTGAAAGTTCACTTCCAGGCAGTGACATGCAATGGTCTCACCCTGACAGGATACCTTCAGTCAATCAATTCCTGGAGCCTCAGGCTGCTCAACTGCCATGTTGTTACCTTAGAAGTTCTTATCCTGGAGAGATTGGTTTATGAATGGTGTCTAAAAGTCATAAGGTTTAAAATTATTGTATCATATTTTGCATTTATCATTGTTTGGGCCCTTTTGGTTGCACTCAAGTAATATTTAAAGCTTAAAAAACTCCAAAACTCAAACCAAAAAGTGACATAATTAAGACAGGGGGAGCAAGTGAAGATGCCAGCTGCTCACCTGACTCCAGAATCAGGAGCTAACAGTATTAATACTATGGGACTAGCAATGAAGATACAAAACATTGTAAAAGCTCGATATTTGACATAAATTCTTAGCAGGGACAAGAAGAGCGGACTGGAACAAGCTTTCTTTCCACACCAACTTCCACATGAAGTTTTTGCATCAATTTCTGACATGTGCTAATGGATCTGCCAGTTCTCATCATGGACACCACTGAGCAGCTGCCAGATCCCCAAGGAGGTCTCAGGAGAGGAGCTGCCACTCGGCAGGTTTCCATGCTGTTCACGGGAAGGATGGATGCACCAGCT